AATAAATTATAAGTTAAAATATGTATTAATTATAAGTTAAAATATGTATTAATTATAAGTTAAAAATATGTATTAATTATCTCTTCCTCTATAGTTATCAAGACACAGTGCTTTTTTTTTTGTATTAAATAAGACATTTACAAAAAATATTCTGGTGATAATTTCTCTCTTCAATAGCACTATGTTATTGCAGCCGCGTCTCCTGTAATTGAGATTGAGTTACGTAAGGAGGCAACCCAGCAACAGTTCCAACTCCAGGTAACGCTTGCGGAACGTTGTACGGGTAGACTTGAGGCGGCAGATACGAAGTGCTTCCGTAACCAGTAGATGGCGCTGAGGTAACAGTTGGATAAGTGTAGTTCGCGGGATCCAAACCGCTAGCGTATTGAGCTGGTTGATACGCAGCTGCGTAGTCGTAGACGTGCCAAGCTGCTGCTGCTGCGGAAGCAGGTGACAAAGGCACGTGGGATGGCAGCAGTACGCTCGATGACGTAACGTAAGGAGGTGTATAGATATAATGTGGAGACAGACTGAAAGAAAACATAAAACACGCTTTTAACACATACGCACTTGAAAATATTTGCTAATATATTTAATAAACATAAAAGGACCATTTAAATATATATATATATACAAGCTTAGTAAAATCTAATCTTTATGAATTAGACTAACAAAATTTAGTGTTTAAAAATACTTTGTCTTTAACAAGAACTGAATAAACAACGTGCAAACAGTAACATTTATAAGTGATACTACCAGATATACTGTAATTGTGTTTTGTATTTACGGCTAAGTTAACTGACGTTGTCCCTGATTTGGAACTACTGACAAAATGGAAGGCAAAGCAGTCATCGACTGTCGCTCTTATAACGCACCCACTGCTTAAAGTACGGGGCGTATTTTCAACTATCTCAGGGCCAATCCGCGCCTTAAGGTTACAAAGCAGAGTTTAAGTAAACTTACGACATCCAGCAAATGATCAAAGACGGAATGACAAAATAAATTAAGTTCACCAAAGTCAGTATTAAAAACTAAGTCATTTAGTGAAATTCTGAAAATTAAGTTTTGTTTGAATGAGATATTCACGTAAAAGAGAACAAGGACTAGAAGGTAGACCGTTAGTCAACAGCACCTGGCGCCAAATAGTGGACTGTGACTGTCACTCTTATACAGCACACTCTGCCCCAGAGTGCGGGGGAGGGGATAATTTTGCAGAACCAAGACGGGAACCAATGACCCTCCGGTTCCTAGTGTGATCTAAAGTAACAAAGGCAAACGTGAACCAGTAAACTGAAATTACATACCAAAGTATTAGAATTAAAGTCAGATATTAAGTTTCAAATTACAAAGGATGCATCTGTCTGTCCTCACACGGTATTCAACTAACGTGAATACCGCAGGTTTAATATAAAAAATGGGCTACACAGTGGGCTATCTCTGCTGTGCCCATGAGACTTACCGCTGAGCCACTTCTTTTAATTCTCTACGGAAGTTGTTTTGGCTTTTCTAATTTGTCACTTTATTCCGACTCGTAGCCATCTGTTAAATCGAGAAACCCCTTGGTGCCTCAGGGGTAATTCGGAGGGCTTATAACGCTAAATATCGGGTTTCGATACTCGCGTTGGGCAGAGAACAAATAGCCTATTGTGTGGCTTTTGCTTAGCAAACAAACAAGCGAGAAGCTGTATTGAATAATTACGAATTATATCTCCTCACTGATATAACGCCCCCAGGTGGCTCAGTGGTAAGTATGAGGTTATAACTCTAATAATCGGGTTTCGATATCCGCTTGGGATGGAGCATAGAAAGTCCATTGTGTGTAGCTACGTTCTTAACACTAATAGGACGAACTATTTTCGATAAAGTCCACAATTAATGAAGTAAAAATTGACATTAAACAAATAGCAATAAAAACAAATGTAACAG